CCCTGCTGCTGCTCCGCTTGCTGCTGCGCTAATGCTGCGCTGCCGCTGCTGCTCCTTGCTCGCTCCTGCGCTAAACTTAGCGCATCAAAACAGCGCTCTGGCGCTGACCATACCGTACCGGTATAGTGCCGGTAGGTCGATGCCTCCAAGTGAGGCTGTACCGGTACTTTATACCAGTGGGGCAGAGGCCGGCCTCAATGCTGCGAGGCCTGGCCATGCCCTGAACCGTCCAGATGGACGGTTCAGCCCCAACCGGCAGGCGGCAGCCTCAAGAGCGCCATACCGGTGGGGCAGAGGCCGGCCTCAATGCTGCGAGGCCTGGCCATGCCCTGAACCGTCCAGATGGACGGTTCAGCCCCAACCGGCGGGCGGCAGCCTCAAGAGCGCCGCCAGGCCCAAACGATAATGYCGTTTGGGCCTGCCCGTTGGGTACTGGTCYAAGATCAGGCCCTGAGGGCCTGTACTATCCCAAGGTCGGGCCTTTAGGCCCTGATGTGTCCCTCCGACCCTAAGTCGGGTCCGGTAGGGCCCGTGTGCGTTGAAGATGTAACACATACACACACACACACACACACACACACTACACTCTACCTACAGCTATGGCGGCTATGACCGCTGCTAACCTATCGCTATGGCTAAGCTCCTCTCGCCCACGTTGTCTTCGGGCTCACTGCAGACCACCTCGCATAAGTCGCTGTGGCAGCGCTTCCACATGGCTCACGCAGGAATGAATGAATGGCTGGGCGCTGCCCTTCGATTTATACTTCTGTGGCTCGTTGGTCTGGCCCTTTCCCATGCCTGCAGTGCACACAGTCCCATGCGGTACTTGCTTGACTGGACTAGGACTGACTGGGACTGGGACTGCTGACTCAGCATCGGTAGACTCCACCACTTGCCCACTTGCCTCAGCCTAAACGTAAGCAACATCGAAAGGCCACTGCTAGGAACTTCCGGAAGGCCGTGGACTTGGCCTTTCGATACTGTAGCAACTACGACATTGACCCTTCAGGACTGTAGCAGCTACGACCTTGACCCTTCAGGACTGTAGCAGCTACGACCTTGACCCTTCGGAAGTTCTACAGCTACGACTTCTAGAACTCCCTAAGACTTCTACTCGACAGATGTACAGATTGAACCCCTGCTCCCTACGGACCCTACGACAGTCTAAGAACTGTTACAAATACACAGGTCACGGGTTCAATCCTCGGGGTCGACACAGATACTGTACATGGGTAAGGTGAGGACTAGGGATCGAGCCCTGGGATCTGCATCGGCTACTGCGAACTGGTGAATACCATTTCACTCCATTCTATTTCGCAATATTTTTTTTTTGTTTCAAGATCGTCATTTTGAAAGCTGAAATTTTGCGAAGCCTGCCTAGATCTTATCATAGCACCGTAAGTGCCTCGCTGATATCAAATCGACAGATTTTCAAAAAAAAAAGGAGGGATCCTCTTCTTTTATTTTTTTATTTTTTTCTGTTGATCAGGACCGGGACTGAAAAGTGCAGTTTGGTTACCTTCCTGTGTTTCCCTCCCACCCAGCCCTTTGCCTGCATTCCCGGTTTGGTAAGTGCCACGTCAGCAATGCCACGACAGCAGCAGTGCCACGTCAGCAGTACCATGTCAGCAGTGCCACGTCAGCAGTACCATGTCAGCAGTGCCACGTCAGCAGTACCATGTCAGCAGTGCCCCGCCACCATGACGGGTTCAGCTTTGGGCATGCTAGGCCAACTTGCCGGCGAGTCCATTGCCGAGTACCGACAGCGGTTCCAAGCTCACCTCGCACTGATCGAGGCTGAGGAACAGCGCCAGGCGGCAGCCGAGGCTGCCCGCCTACAGGCTGAAGCGGAGGCAGCAGCTGAAAAGCAGTGGCTTCAGACCGCAGCTGAGGCAGATACCCACGCACGCCGCAAGGAGGCCCAGGATCTGCTACAGCGGCACGAAGCCGCCAGCGTCGAAAGGCTCACGTTCTGGCATTTTGAACCATCTGAGGACAACGACGACGCAACACCAGAAGAGAAGCACAAGGAGTTTCTCTCCAAACTCGTGACCCGGTTGGTTTACACCATGGCTACGATCCGGACCACCGGACAGGGATCCGGACCGTCCGTGGTCCGGGGTCCGGGGTCCGGGTCCAGATCTTGGTCCGGATGTGAGGGCCCCAGCCCAATGGCCAAATTTTTTTTGGGTGCTCCAGGGCGTTTGTTCACGCCCTGGGCCGCCCCCAAAAAATAGTGCCTTATTTTTTACCACTCTCGTCGAACCCGAGGGGGTAAACCTCAGGTCACCATCAGCGAGCAGCTCAACGAGATTCGGCAACTGCACCAGCCGCCCGACAACAATGGCAGCACCAGTGCATCGCAGCCGTACAAGATGCCAACATTCCGTATCGTAAAGTTTGATGACTATACGCATCAAGACCCGGTCCCCTGGTGGCAGGGCTTTACGACGGAACTTCAGATTCGTCACGTCCCCGAACACTCGTACATCACGTCATTGTTCCTCAACTCTAAGGGTGGATGCCAGATCTGGCTCACTCACGTGGCAACCATCCACGGCGTCCAGGTCGCCGAACTGCACAAGAAGATCTCTTGGGAAGATTTGACGAGGCAATGGAAGCAGCGGTTCATCGTTGACGACGCCCCGACGCTCGCCATCAACCGCCTCTTCTTCATGACGCAAGGCAACACACCGACATGCGACTGGCTCACGGAATGGCAAAAGATTGTGGCAACACCCGATCTCGACTTGCCATTTTCGCATCTGCGCCGGGAGTTCTACAACCGGTCGTGTGCCGCCCTGAGCCTAGCACTTGGTGATCGCGAACAATACATGACCTTCGCCGAAATCATCGACAAAGGTCGTGAGATCATCAAGACCAACCGGGCTGCTGCACGCGAGAAATCAGTGTGGCAGCCAGCCTACGTGAACAAAGGAAGTTTGGTCCGCATCCGCTGCCTGTGCCGCAGTCCAACCCGACAACCTTGTGGAAGACCCAGCAGCCACGTTAACATCATGTGAGGGAGATATGGTGGCCGTCGTCCAGCCGTGGAGCAACAACAACTCCCGCGGAAAAGGGAAGGCGAAAACCGCATCGCCGGCTGGAAATGGACAGCGCCATGGGTCAAGTTCAACTTCACCGAGGCCGAATACAAGTACCGCAGCCGATACAGCTGCTGCTATTGGTGCAACAGCACCAATCACAAGACCTCCCAATGCCAAGATCAGGGCAAGGAGGATGTTCGACCTCAAACAAGCTCGGGAAACTGAGCTGCGCAGGAGGTGAGGCGACTCCACCTCTCGCTCCGCCAGATTCGGCCGCCTTGCTAGCGGCCTACTACACATCTGGGGAGGATGCGAATGTTGCAAGTCCTCGGTACTCTTACGAGGATTACGCTGTCCACTTGGTCCCACTGTTGGACCAGCCACTCCACGTGCAAGACTCCACCGCATGCACGGTTTCATCACCGTCGGCAACGATTCGGCAGCTTCGCCGCCAACTTCAGCCGGGGATTTGACGTCATGGTCAAGACTTGAAGAACTCGACCTGTTGACGTTCGCGGACTTCCAATGGATGCACCTTCCCCCGACCGGTCGATTGTCGAAACCGCACCGCAATGCGCTCAAGGCACAATTGCGGGATAACTAACACACTGCAGTACCAGCCCCGTTGATGGACGTCCGAGTAGAGGTTGTCGACCTTCACAATTACCTTGCAAAGATCGACCGCGAGTTCAAGACAGAACGGTACGACACCAACGACCCGCCATTGTTGTACATACGCATTCAGATCGTAGAAGCGACGTGCAGCGCTTTGATCGATTGCGGAGCTACTCGCAACTATATGAGCCAAGATTTTTTGGTACGCGCTGGCCTGGAGCCACGCATTCAGAGGAAGTCGCAAGCCCACACAAGTCACGTTGGCTGACGGTCACACGCACAAGTCAATCGACCGGTGCATTGACTCCGTCCCCGTGTACTTCGCCCCGCATGCAAGCATCTGCACCACTGATCTACGCCGACTACAAGCGATGAAGACTAGCTACGAAAGCTTCACATCCTGCCTCTCCCACCCGGACTTTGGTCCTCCCTCCGACAGACAGCTTCGCCCTCGAAGGTAAGCTCAGTCTTTCAAGGAGGGAGGGGTGTGGCATACTGCGCAGCCACACGGGCCTGCAGGGCCCGACCAGACGAAAAAGGCCCTGTGTCGTTTCACCCTAAAAAAAAAGCCTGTAAAAGAGGGCCATTTTCAGGCCCTCATAAAGTCAACCTCCCCTGAAACTTAGGCAGCAGACCAGGGTTTAGCTCAGGCCATTTTTAGGCCTGTTTCAAGACAACCTTTGTTTGAACGCCCGACCAGACGGAAAACGGCCCTCCAGGCCCTGTGTCGTTTCAGCCTAAAAGCCTGTAAAGGAGGGCCATTTTCAGGCCCTCATAAAGTCAACCTCCCCTGAAACTTAGGCAGCAGACCAGGGTTTAGCGCAGGCCATTTTTAGGCCTGTTTCAAGACAACCTTTGTTTGAACTTCAACGCCAGGGTCTGGCACGATTCGGCATGGGCAAGAGCAGCCTCCCAGGCCGGCCCAGCACTATATGGTACTGGTCCGCCTTGCAGGCTGCACGTAGTTCACGGGCACTTCACATGCAGTTCAGGAGGCAGGAGGCAGTCTTCAGGATTCGGCAGCAGCACTCTGCAGGAGCGCTGCAGTAGTCTTCAACGCTGGGCGCTGTTAGGAGCTTAGAGTAGCATTGGAGAGAGAGAGAGTTGGCGGAGGCCAAGAAGACTTACCTGTGGCGCCAAGGCTCCAGCTTCATCTTCAATGTACCTGCAACAAGGCGCCACCTTCACAGGTTAGTACTTGGCACAAGAGAGAGAGAGAGAGAGAGAGAGAGAGAGAGAGAGAGAGAGAGAGAGAGAGA